CCCCAAAACCCCAAAACCCCAAAACCCCAAGAAACAGCATTATGCTTATAAGTGGAAGTTGTGAATATTAAAATTGAATTAGAGCTAAACTAAATGAGCAAGTGCTTACGAGAGCACACAAATAATCATTTATTTACTTTCATTTTATAAGGTTGAAACATCTTAGAACACTAATAGTAAGATTGCTGCCCACAATTAAAACACCTCCTATGATTTCACTTGAAGATGGGTGAGTCCTTAGCACAACGTAGTCTAGCACGTAGTTATATATAATCTGCAGTTGGTTAACAGGAGCAACACGGCCTGCCTTATCATTTTGATAGGACTTTGTCTGGAACACCTAAGCGATAAAGAAAGATAAACTGATCAAAATAAGCATGTAGCACTCATACCAACCGTATTTAGTGGTCTCGTTTTATCTATATCTGAGCATAATGAACATAATAAGAGGAGCAACAAACGCGCTGAATATTGCTTGGTAGAAGGGAGGTACCAAAAAGTGAACTCTCTTTCCTAGTTTTCTTGTTTGCATCTATGAAATTGAAAAACTAATAGCTCCACCAATAGCTGCGAGAGAACCGAGAGTATCGTAAAGTGATGCATGTTTTTCACTTGCGTCTACAGACTATGAAGCCCATGGATTTTAAATAACTAGAATTCCAAAGAATGAAATGAAAATGGCTAGCCAGTCTATAAAGTTTAGCACTTCATCAAGCATAAAGTATGCAAAAACAGCTGTGAATACAGGATTAGTCCAATAGAGAGTAGTAGCCTTTGAAAGATCAGTGTATTACAAAGCTAGATAATAACCTGTCATTCCAAAGAAACCAAATATCGATCTGAGCACTAATGTCGTACGCATGTTCATTGGTACTTTCAGGTGATCTTGTGTATAAGCCTTGAATAAAACAAAGTTAAGGAATGCCATCATTATAGATTGCCAGTAGGTTACTTCGAAAGTTGAGACAGATGATTTGATGTACAATAATTTCAATAGAAATGCCATCAAGGTATATGCTAACGATGAAATTGCCATATATATCATTCCTTTTGCTCCTTTCTATTCTCTGATGACCTTCTTCTTTTTAGGCTCATACACAAACTCAATTACGGCAGCATCTGATTAGTTGATTACAAAGTAGTTGGTGGCTTTAGGGATATCTATATTCTTTGACATTTTAACTAAGAGATTTATTGCAGGTTCCCTGTTTGTTTCGCGAATAATAATTCAAATATTATTAATGTCTAATTTATTAACTTTTAATTACTGATGATCTCATTTTATCAGTCGGGGTTTTGGGGTTTTGGGG